AAACAACGGCTAATAAGCGGCTGCGGCGCGGCCAGCGAAGATCCCGCCGTTAATTATCCGCGTAATGGGACGAGGCGCGGCCTGCTGGCAACGACCCCCTGGCAGAAGTCCCCGTGCCCCGTCAGCTGACAGCTGCCCCTCATGATGTAAATCTCAGCCCCCAAACTGGGGGGGGGGGAGGGGGGGCGCTAGAATGGCTTCAACCACTGAAGCTGCCCCCGAAACACCATCTGGCCACCATTAACACACGAGACCCGCGGCTTCTGTCCCTCATGCCCCCCCACTGTGCGGTGGGGGGGGGGGGCTGGAGGATGGGGGCTGTCCGCCTGGATGGAATTTCATAAAGTTTACAGGATTTGTGTTTTTTTTTTTTTTTAACAATACGATGAACCAAAAAAAAAAAAAATCTGGAACTAAAAGCCTTAATAGAATTGGCAGACCACCCCTGGGGGGCATATTTGTTTTTAAATAAGCCATCTGACACACCAGTAGCAGGAAGGACCATTTCACAGGCCGCTATGTGCTTTGTGTTCAAAGTCCCCGCGGGGAGATGGACCAATCACTGAATGCCCTCCGTATTTCCCAGAAGGCCCATGTGTCCCCACAGAATCCTCACACATGGCCACAGAGAACCCAGCTGCTGTGACCCCCTCCGGCCCAAGGGGGGGGTAGCAAATCCACCCAATCACCATAGCTACGTTCAGCTAGCAGGTGGCTAACCCGCCCCACCCCCCCCCAAACCCTCCACTAAACTTTTCAGCTCCCCATAGTTCCAACATTGCCTTTTTATCCTCACGTTTGTTAATAAAATTATAATATAAGCTTTGAAAAAAAAATAAAAATGAACTATATACAGCAGGACAAATGCGATCTGGCGGCCGCACTGCCAAAGCAGACAGAGTGGGGGCACTGGGGGCCCAGGACTCACACTGGGTTGGAGCGCCTGCCTCGGCTGCCCTTCCCGATGACTGGCGTTCCGAAGTGCTCGGGGTTCGTCAGGGGCAGTCGGTCAAGCGTCTGAAATGGTGGGGGGGCGGGGGGGGGACACTGTGACTGGCTGGAAGACTAAAGTTAGGGCAAATGCTAATGGGTGCTACTGCAAGAAAGTGGGGGGCAGCTGAGAGATGGGATCACAGTTCCTATTAGTCATCCGCAGTCACATGATGACCAGCCACTCTTTGGGCTCATGTCACTTACACATTATCCCCCTCAAGCAGCAAATCTGTGCAGTTGTTTCCATAACAGAAACGTGCTTTATGACACCAAAACCAATGACAACGCGGCTTTAGAAGGCTTCGTCCGCGCCTCGCGCGCGTCTGAGAGGCGGAACATTCCAGAGCCAGTTAAGCGTGAAGCTGCGGCCCGCAGCCACATGCTAACGAGGCCCCCGTAAGCCTCGTAAACATCGGGGGGGGGGGGGGGGGGGCTGCCTCCCGCCAACAAGCTCACCTCACTCTCTGCAAAGTGGCGGGCTCCCTTCAGGCACAGCGAGGAACGCCTTAGGGTCTTCTCATCGCCGTCGTCAAACACTGGGGGGGGGCAGAGACGCATGGGTGAGGGTGTCGGCCTTAAGAGCACATGGTCACATGATACCGGCAGAGAATCCCCCCCCCCCTTACCGACTGTGTACACGCTGGCGTCTGTCAGTTTGTTGATGGTGGCCTCTTGATACGTCCCGTCCTGGTTCCTCACCTCCACCACCGCTCCTACCTGTCCGAAGATACGGTGAGAAAGAGAATCAATGGAAAGAAAGGAGGCCACGCCCACCGCACCGCACCGCGTTTCCATGCCTGACAGCCGCCGTAATCTCCTGGCTCACTCCGCCGCTCTGCCGGAGCCAAATACAAACCGGCGAGCCTGAACTCCGCTGCTTAGGACGTCAGAATGAGAGAGAAAAAAACACACGCGGGATTTGTCATGGCTGTGGAAGGGTGGCAGGTGCCAGCTGGCATTATGGGAAAGACGGGACCAAACGAGGCAGGTCACCGGCAGCGGGGACCCAATGTTACCCTGACGGGGCTCGTCCATGACTCAGGGATGCCGGTTGGGGCATATTTTACAGCTAAAGTGAGACACATTTTCAGTTAGCTCTGTTGATATTTAACGCCAAAGACAGATTTTCATCTTCAACACTTAATCCTTTAGGAATCAAAATTGTCATAAGAAATCTGAAACAGTGGTGACAAAATTAGCTGACTGACCCCCTCCTACTCAGTATGGGCAAGATTTAAATATACCGATATGCAATATCAATATAGCATCGCTTTTACTTTAAAAAAAAAAAAGTATAAAAAGTGGTATACATCGTGGTGTAGTGCATGGAAGATATGATGGTATGAAATACTCTACACTCCATAAAATTATTGGGCAGAACTGATGAACTGGGACGAATGGAGGAGATGGACCAATGATGAACCAGCTGCCCACTGACCATGAGCCAATGACAAACCAGGAAGGAGTCAAAGGGTAACAGGAAGAGGCCCCTGGAAAACCTACCTTCAAAAGCCCTCTGATGTTCTCGTCGTGAACCTCAACAGTCGACGAATCCAGTTTGAAGGTCACCTGGGAGATGGGAGCATGGAGAGCGAGTGTATAAATAAGGATGGTGATGTTTCTTTTTTGAATATAAAGGCGGAGCCCGCGTCACCCAGAACCTCGCCACGCCTGCGCCATGCGACGCCGTCACTAGAAATCCTCGGCTCCCAAACAAAACGCCTTGGGCCCCCCTGCTTGGGCTGGCTCTTTTAATCTGAAGAAATGCAGGTCCCGCTTAGTAAATTTTGCCGATTTGGGGTTCCTTCAGAAACTTCTGCCAACCAGGGGGGGCCCTGGCAGTACATTTTGGGGCCCTTATACAGTGCTGGGCCCCCTCAGCCTGCCAGAATGTGTAACCACACAGTTAAAAGGGCCTGCCATCCACAGACCTAAGCACTGGGGCCGTATGTATCCCACAGGGCAGGGAACGATTGGCAAATCGAAGGGCACACACCCCTGTGCTGAACCAGAGGAATGTTTTGGCCCCTGCAGCTGTTTCTCAAGCAAAGTGACGAGTAAAGATTAAGATATTTTTATTCGGCATTTAAATAAGAGCAGGCCGGTGACCCTGGGGCTGATCTCATGGTTAAGGGTCTCGATGGCACCATTACTCTGCTGGGATTAGATCCCACAACCTTGCTGCCAAGGGCACCGATTCCCAACCCGAAGAGCGAAATCCCGCCCACAAACATACTGCTGCCATCTCCTAACACAACAACTGCGGGCGGAAGCTAAAAATAAATGTGTTTATATGACATAAACATCAGTAAATTAAACATTGACAATGGAAACCAGCACACAAAAATTCTCATTAAAAATAGCTGAATAGTCAGTTTCATGACATAACGTCACAGTTAAGAACAGTCAAAACAAGGTCGTTTATTTTATTAATTTTGCCCCCCACCCAGAAAAGTGAATAGGTGACCCATGTGGATGGCATTTTTTCCATTCCGGATTGGTCACATTCACAGATTTCGTCGAAGCCCCAGATGGGTCTTGCCCTGCCCAGCCTGCCGCAGTGAGGAGCCACCCGTACACTCCGGGCTGCAGGGACCGTCTCACATTTCCCTGACGCTCGATAAAGCGGCGGGACGACGAGCTCCCCCGCCCACAACCTTGGGGGACCGGGTCGTGTACGAGAAAAGGGCTTGGATCACCTTGACAAACCGGATCAACAGCCGGATGCAGCCCAGTTGTGTGGCATTTATCAATAATCCCTCTGAATTATGTTGAATCTCTGCACTCATTGCTTTGATTTATGTTGTATCCCTGCTTTGATGCTTGGCTTTTTTTATTTTTAATTTGGCTAAAAAAAAAAAAAAAAAAAGGGGCCGACCCTTCCCTTTTGGTGATCAACACCCCCCCCCACCCCCCCCCCAAAAAACCCTCATTATTTTTTTATCCCATCTTTTTTCCCCAAAAAGGGGGGGGGGGGGGGGATGTGTCATGTTAAGACCAAGCTGGGCTTGGCTGTTATTACAATAATAGGCTATATGGTATTTTGGGTATACCGCGGTATTCTGAAGTTATTGCGGGGGACCCCTCCCCCCTGCTTGGTAAATTGTATCATGAGTTCCTTGCGAACCCTGGCTCAATGTGATGCTCTGTCACTTCTATCCAGAGCTACAAACATTCTTCAGAAAAGGAGGTACAGAGAGGCCCAAGAGGTATGGGGGGTTAGGGGCCTGCTCAGGAGCCCAATGGTGACGTCAGTGTGACATCCCTGGGATTCACACCGACGCCCTTCATCCCATGATGTCCCGCTCAGACAGAAGGCCACGCACACTTCCTCAGCGATCGGCCCCCGGGACCCCACGAGACACTTAACACCCGCTGTGCACTTTCGCTGACCCCTACGTCCCCGTGACTCTACCCTTGACTTGCTGTCGAGCCTTTTCGGCTGAGTCTTCGCTGGAAACGCGACATCAGCACATTCCATATTACTTTGAACAGGCAATAATAATAATAAACAATCAACCCTCCAGCAAACCAATGCAGACTAAACAGCAAAGGCTATTTCATCAATGAAACTTCCCGTCATTACTTTTCAGAAAGTGGTTAGAGCAGAGGGTTAAGTCAACATAACGATGCGTGATGTTATTGTGAGAAACCGACAATAAGTGAAAATATTAGCAAAAAACAACTTTTGGGGAGTAAAATAATACAATGCATGGCCTTTCTGGACTCCCGTAGAACACCAAGGAGGTTTGATCTTCATCTTTAAAGTGAGTTTAAAGAAAAAGGGAAAAAAAAAAACCTCAGTACAGCCCATCTTGCGCTACTGTGTTTTTAGTTCCGAGTCATGGTTCACTTCCAAACCTCGGGAGCCGTCCTCACTGTTGCCTGCTGGATAAACATCCTCATTTGCTGCCTGAGCTAGTGGGGGGGGGCTGAATGGTCTTCTGAACCATGTGTGGCTTGCGCATTGATTTTTAATATCCCCCAAAGAAAGAGGAGAGACTGTAAAAAAAAAACCCACTTAACAAAGCATCAGGCATCCCCTTGGACAGCTTTCTCATGTGCGATGATAAGCCTGAGGTCACCACTACTGTTTGCAGGGGCAACGCTATGATGAAAAGCCCCTCACCCACTTGTAGTTGGGTGACATCATCCCCACAAAAACTGCTCAAATGGCTGTGATGGGCCGTCGCTCAATATCGAACCCCGACACAGCGTCCCGTGGCTGGCTGGGAAAACAAAGCCTTGATACTTACAGTAAGTGGGTTTTACAACATACTGTCAATCACGGACCTTTTTTAACCCCTTGGGACCTAGGGATGCGACCAATGAGACGTGACTGAGCAAACACCGTGACCAATGAAAAATGACTGAACAGACGATATAACCAATGAAAAATGACTGAACAGATTATTGACAGCACACAATCAAAGCCCATGTTTCTAGCATTTACACACTACTACGCTATTTGGTTTATTTCCCTTTTTAGAGTAGTGATATTGATATTATTATACCAGAAAGACGTTAGGTTCTTCATAGTATTAAAGGCGGCGATGGAAGTTAAACCAACAAACTCAGGGTCATGACAGATAAACAGCAGGGAAGCCGCCATGAAAAGCTGTGCCAACTTCAGGTTGTTTTCTACATGCTGCGGGTTTAAGAAAACTTTTCAACAGTTTGTCTCCCCTACAGTATGAGCCCCCCTGCAATTCTTTGGTGTTTTTATTCTTTTATTTTTTAAACACTCTCAGAAAAAGATCCATTCAGCCTTGCTGGCAGCGACGGTCACATGCATTTTTCCAGAATGTTCAGCCGTGTGGCATGTAAGGGAAACGGCACTGGTCGAGCGAGGGAAATCGATCGTTCTCCTCTCGTGAGAAACCATGAGCACCAGCGATCCAGCACCAGCATGGGCTGAAGCCTTTCCTCTGGGCCAGACTCACCAACGCCGGGCTGTGAAACTTTTTCCAGATACGCTGCTGCCTGATTATAGACACATGGGTGATGGGGGGGCATATGGGGGTTCCTGGGTGGAGATTTCACTGCTGCCTGTAGCTCAGTTCAAATGTTCAGATCCGTATGCAAATGCTTCCCAAGCCAATAAGGGCACCAACCAAACAGGAAGTGGCATGTTTCTATCAATCCAAACAGGAAGTGGCATGTTTCTATCAATCAGGAAACAGCGGCTAGCTTGGAAACATATGGAAGGTCTCTTGCCAAGCCTTAATTGTAGTAACCATATCTTGTGAAATACTTCCTCATTTGGTGACGAGGCTGTTGCTTTACTCGAGTAGGAGAGTAACGATGGACTCAGAGACAAATGAAAGATGCTGGGCAGGAGGACAGAGAGCCTCCAGGCCGTGAACTCTGCTCCCCACCAGCGCAGGTGACGCCTGGGGGGTATGGGCTCCCCGTCTTAAAATTTTCATCAAAAAAGTGACAGACTCAACACAAGCAACCACTTCTGGTACAGCGTATACCGCGGTGCTGTTTTCAAAGGGGGGGGGGGCAGAGTGACACAGTCACAGAGAGGGGAGAAAGAGAGAGAGCAAAAGAATAAGAGAAGGGAGAGAGAGAGAGAGAGAGAGAGAGAGAGAGAGAGAGAGGGAGAGAGAGAAATCAGTGAGAAAGGGGGCCAAAAGAGGACCGGTCTTCAGTGACGCTGTCGGGCACCGCAGAGGACCCACAGGGTCCCGGGAACA